TTCCATCACCACCACCATGAGATCATTGGGTGGTCCCTTCTCCCATCCATGACACGCTTGGCTCCCTTCTCTCCCTCCCCATGGTGTCCCTGTGGTGTCCCCGTGGTGTCCCTGTGGTGTCCCCGTGGTGTCCCCGTGGTGTCCCCATGGTGTCCCCATGGTGTCCCCGTGGTGTCCCCGTGGTGTCCCCGTGGTGTCCCCGTGTCCCCGTGGTGTCCCCGCGCCGCAGGCGAGTTCATCCGTGCGCTCTACGAGTCGGAGGAGAACTGCGAGGTGGACCCCATGAAGTGCTCGGCCTCCACGCTGGCCGACCACCAGGCCAACCTGCGCATGTGCTGCGAGCTGGCGCTCTGCAAGGTGGTCAACTCCCACTGGTGAGTGCCGGGAATGTCCTCGGTGTGACACCGAGTGACACCGAGTGACACCGAGTGACACCGAGTGACACCGCGTGACGCCGCGTCCCGCCGGCAGCGTGTTCCCGCGGGAGCTGAAGGAGGTGTTCGCCTCGTGGCGGCTGCGCTGCGCCGAGCGCGGGCGCGAGGACATCGCCGACCGCCTGATCAGCGCCTCGCTCTTCCTGCGCTTCCTGTGCCCCGCCGTGATGTCCCCCAGCCTCTTCGGCCTCATGCAGGAGTACCCCGACGAGCAGACGGCGCGGACGCTGACGCTCATCGCCAAGGTCATCCAGAACTTGGCCAACTTCACCAAGTGAGGGCGGCGACACCGGGAGGGGTGAGGGAGATGGGTGGGGAGAGATGATGATGATGACGGTGACGATGATGATGATCAATGATGATGATGATGGATGACAATGTCAGTGAATGATGATGATGATGATGATGATGATGATGATGATGATGATGGATAATCACGATCAATGATGGATGATGGACAGATGAAGGATAATGATTGATGACAATGTCAGCGGATGAAGATGATAATGATGATGAATGATGATGATGAATTATGATGATGATGATGATGATGATGATGATGATGATGATGATGATGATGATGATGATGATGAATGGCAAGGTCAGTGGATGGTGATGATGATGATGATGATGATGATGATGATGATGATGGTGATGATGATGATGATGATGGCGGCTCCTTTTAACCAATGATGATGTCAATGGATGATTATGACAATGGATAAAGGATGATGATGATGATGATGATGATGTCAATGAATGATGGATGATGATGACCATGGATGATGGATGACGATGATGATGATGGTGGATGATGATGATGAAGATGATGATCGATGATGATGTCAATGGACGATGATGACAATGGATGGAGGATGATGATGAGGATGATGGTGATGATGGATGACAAGATCAGTGGATGATAATGATGATGATCAATAACAATGTCAATGGATGTTGATGACAATGGATGATGATGATGATGATGATGATGATGGATGATGATGGATAACCACAATCGATGATGGATGATGGACGGATGAAGGATAATGATTGATGATTATGTCAGTGGATGATGATGATGATGATGATGATGATGATGATGATGACGTCGATGTCAATGGATAACCACAAACGATGATGGATGATGGATGGATGAAGGATAACGATTGATGATGATGACAATGGATGATGAGGATGATGATGATGGTGATGATTGATGATGGATGACAATGTTAGTAGATGAAGATGATCAATGACGATGTCAATGGATGTTGATGACAATGGATGATGGATGACGATGGTGATGATGATGATGGTAATGTCAACAGATGATGAAGATGATGATGATGATGATGTCAATGGATGATGATGATGGTGATGATTGATGACAATGTCAGTGGATGATGATGATCGATGATGATGTCAATGGATGTTGATGACAATAGATGATGATGATGATGGTGATGATGATGATGATGTCAGTGGATGATGACGATGATGTCAATGGATGATGATGATGATGATGATGATGATGGGTAACCACAATCGATGATGGATGATAACAAGGCCCCTCCCCAAACTCTCACACTGGGGACTCCCCTCACCTGCAGAGGCCCACCTGTCATCCCCACCCCCACCTGTCAGCCCCGCCCTCACCTGTCAGCCCTGCTCTCACCTGTCAGCCCCACCCTCACCTGCCAGGGCCCACCTGTCAGCCCCACCCTCACCTGTCAGCCCCGCTCTCACCTGTCATCCCTACCTACACCTGTCAGCACCGCCCTCACCTGCAGAGGCCCACCTGTCATCCCCACCCCAACCTGGCAGGGCCCACCTGTCAGCCCCACCCTCACCTGTCAGCCCCGTCCTCACCTGTCAGCCCTAACTACACCTGTCAGCCCCATCCTCACCTGTCATCCCTACCCTCACCTGCCCAGGCTCACCTGTCAGCCCCATCCTTACCTGCCCAGGCTCACTTGTCAGCCCCACCCTCACCTGCCCAGGCTCACCTGTCAGCCCCATCCTCACTGTCAGCCCCACCCTCACCTGCCCAGGCTCACCTGTCAGCCCCACACTCAACTGCGAGGGCCTACCTGTCAGCTTCACCCTCACCTGGGCCCAGCTGTCAGCACCGCCCTCACCTGCCCAGGCTCACCTGCAGACCCCACCCTCACCTGCCAGCCCTGCCCTCACCTGTCAGGGCCCACCTGTCAGCCCCACCTTCACCTGCCAGGAGTGTTCCCACCCACCTGTCAGCCCTGCCCTCACCTGCCGGCCTCACCTGCCATACCCTCCTCACCTACCAGCCCCACCCTCACCTGCCAGCCCCGCCCTCACCTGCTGACCCCGTCCTCACCTGCCGTGTCCTCACCTGCCATACCCACCCTCACCTGCCGGCCCCACCTGGCGGCCCCGCCCTCACCTGGCGCACCTGGCGCAGGTTCGGGAGCAAGGAGGAGTACATGGCGTTCATGAACGAGTTCCTGGAGCTGGAGTGGGCCAGCATGCAGCAGTTCCTGTACGAGATCTCCAACCTGGACACGCTGACCAACAGCACCAGCTTCGAGGGCTACATCGACCTGGGCCGCGAGCTGTCCACGCTGCACGCGCTGCTCTGGGAGGTCATGAGCCAGCTCAGCAAGGTACCGCACCTGGGCACACCTGGGGAGCCGGCCGTGGGCTCAGCTGTGTGGGTACGGGCTCACCTGTGTGGGTACAGCCTCACCTGTATGGGTACGGCCTCACCTCTATGGCCACAGTCTCACCTGTGTTGGTACGGCCTCACCTGTATGGGTATGGGCTCACCTGTGTGGGTACAGCCTCACCTGTATGGGTACAGCCTCACCTGT